TTTTTGAAAAAATCTTTTTTTATTGTAAACAATTAAAATAATTTTTTTTTGGATAATTATTTTCAACGTTCATAATGATGTCACTACAATCAATTATACTATAAGACAAAAAAAAACGGAATGGTTGAAAATTTGTTGCCTTTCATCATTCATTTATTTCAATTGAGTGTTATCAAAATTAATTGTTTTGTTTTTTCTTTTATATTTTCAATTAATTTGAATAAAAATTCTTTTTTTTTCAGAATTGTTTTTGAAAACCTGTCAATTAACAAGTCTACTTTCTCGAGGTGCGTGTGCGCGAGTGTATTCAACGTCATTTTTTTTCTCAATTTAATTTAGCAAAACTTTAGTGTCTCTGTGTGTGTGTGTACATCTTTGGTGAAGAATTCAGATTTATTTTCTTGTTTTAATATATTGATAATGTCATCAACACGAACAGCTCCACGAACAACATCAAATAGTAAAACAACATCTTTGAATACTCATCATACAAATGGTTCGGGTAATTCATATGATATGAATGATTCACAATCAAATTTGAATTATCCCACTGGCAATAATCCAGAGTAAAAATTTGTTTTTTTTTTGAAAAACAATTCTTTTTATTTTAGAAAGATTATAAAATGATATTTCTTGTTTTTCAAATTTAGCTTTGATTCAAATCTGCAACGATCATCTTTAAAAAGAAATGTTTCGCAAGTAAATAATATCATTTTTTTTTCTTTTTGTTTGAATAGAAATTAAGACTTTTATATTTATAATTTAGTATGAAGGTATCTATCGAAATGCTCGATTTATTCATGCAATAAGTAGTGGATTAGTGGTGAGTTTCTTTTATTTAAAGATTAAATTCATTTGAGATTTGTCTGTATAAGAAGACATGAAAGTTGGTTTTGTTTTTTTTGCAAATAGACCATACAAAATCAATAAATGTTCTCTAATTTATAGGAAAAAAAGTCTCAAAATATAATTTTTAAGTTTGAATATAGTAAATCTTTGGTTGACAAAGAATTGTAAAACAAAAAAAAGTTCTGTTACACTGCAACATTTTATAATGGCGTATTTTTTTTTTTGTTAATATCATTTTAATGTATAGTGTTAATGTTTAAATATCTGATCTATTTTGATTTAATTTTTTTTTTAGGGTCAACAAGTAGTTATTCAAACAAGTGATCATGAACGATTTCACGGTGTACTTGAAACATTTTCACCAAATGCTGATATTGTTCTAACTGTTTCACATCGATTAGATAAAAATAATAATGATATAATTACTACACCTACATTACCTATTGATATTATTGATACAATTGATAGTTCATCACAAACATTTGAATTACATAAACGAATTATTAAAGCATCTAATATTGTTGAAATTATAGCTGTTGATATTGATCTATCAACTAATGCAAAATGTATGTTAAGAAGAAAAAAAAACAAGATTTTCATTTCAAAATATAAACACAAAAAAAAAATTATGAATTATTCTATGTATAGGTTCACTTGATGAAAATCTTAAAGTTAGTCAATTAGAGGATGATCGTTTTAGTCGTATGGAACATTTTTATGGTTCAGATGAAATTGATCCAGAAACATTTGAAAATCTTGAACTTGGTGATGATGGAAAAGTAAAATAAAAAAATTTCTATTGATTTTGAATTTATTTATTTATTTATTTTTAATAAAAAGACTGGTTTTGATCCTGAAGATATGTTTCATACAAATCGAGAAAAATTTAATACAACAACTGATTTTGATGAAAGCAAATATACGTATGTTTGATTTATTTTATTAATTTGATTTTAATATTTTTATCGTATAGAAATGTTCCTATTCGTCAAATGTCAGCAACAGAATTAGCAGAAATTGAAAAAAAAATTCAAGAAATTGAAAAAGGAACCCGAACAGAAGATATTGATGAAGATGATGCGGGTAAAAAAAAGAACAAAAAACATCTGCTTTACACTATTTTTATTTATTAACTAAAAAAATTTCTGCGTTTTCTTTTTCTGATAAGGCGTTAAACGTCCAACTGAATCCCATAATCTCGATGATAGAAATAGTAATATAAAAAATAATCGTTCAAATCGAAATGAATTTCGTTATGATAATGAATATAATCCTTCAAAGTAATTCGATTTTTTTTCTTTTTAAATAAAATTCATCTATTTTTTTGTTTTTGTTTTCCATTAGACGCGATAATTGGCGTGAACAACGATCTACTGGTAATAATAATAATCGTCGTGGTGGTGGAAATAATCCAAAACAAAATCAATACATATCAACAAATAATCGTCAACAATATAATACACGTATATCACGTAATAATCGTTTTATAGATAATCGATCACCACATCAAGGAAGAGATTCACCATTACAAACAACAAATGAAGAATCAACACATAATAAACAACGAATAAATAGTGGTAGTTTTCCACAAGGACAATCTTCGAATCCAACAAGTCCATCAACAATTGTTTCAGCTCGAACTATTTATCCTAGTACAAATCGTTCATCAAATAATCAAAATTCACCAACACAATATACCGGTAGTTCATCATCACGTACTAATTCTATAACAGCTACATCTCCACCACCATTAAATCAACAATCAGGAACAAATAAAATGACAAAGAAATCATCGCTCAGTAAGAAAATTATTAGTTTTTTTGTGAAACACAAACAAAAAAGGAGCGTTGAAATCAGGGATGGAACCGGTCCGGTCTGACCTTTTCAGACTGGTACCGATATCGGTCATCAAAAATTCAGACCGGATCCATCTCTGGTTGAAATATATAGAGTAGCAGTTTGCAACCACAGGCCGTGACAGACACCTTAGCAATGCCTCCTTCCCTCTCCGTCGTAGACGTTATTAATATACAATCGAAGACCGTATATCAATAACGTCTTGTAAATACTTCCTTATTGTATTTCTGGAGAATTAAGTAAAAGAATCACATTTTGATCCTACAGAGATTGCGCCAATAGCTTTTCCTTTTTCTTTTATTCTGATTATATTTAATTTTAAGATGAACAACAATCTATACATGATGAAACTGATCCACCAAAGCAACAACGTTCTTCAAATAATCAAATAAATACAACTCCACTTAATCGTCCATCGCAATTACAATCAAAACAACAATCAGTTTCAACAAATAATAGTATACAATCATCGTCAACATATTCAAATCAAGATGATAATTCATCTAGTCATGATATAATTAATACAAATCAATCAAGTACAACTGGAACAACGTATGTTGTGTTTGTTTTTAAAGCACAAATTTCAATATTTATATTTTTTGTTTCCTAGAACACCAAATTCAACGAAATCCAATGCCGCATTGAATCCTGAAGCGGATGAATTTGTTCCCGTATTTTCAGTAAATTTCCGTTTTTTTTTGTTTTATGTTTTGAATTATTCAAGAATAAAAATCTTCTTGTTCTAGCGTGAAAGTAGTTCTCGACCAGAATCACGTGGTACATCAACAACAAGTTCAACATCTATGAATGCTTTTATTCCACATGCTCATCCACAAGCACTTCATTTTTTACAACAACAACAACAACAACAAGCTCAATCTCAACCAACACAACCTATGATTCCAGTAACACATACACAAAATCCTGCAGCTTTATATCAACAATATTATCAAACAGCATTTGCTAATATGCCACAATTTATTAATGCTACACCACAACAAATGACAGTTGGAGTTATGAGTGCACAGATGATACCACCGCAACCATTGATTGCAACTGGACCAAATACAAATAATTCAAGTAATGGAAGTTCAAGTGGAATGACAACACCTAACAGTTCAGTTAGTGCTGGTCCAACTTATAAAATCAGTAATAATAATAATAATAATAACAATAATAATAATAATCAAGCACATAGCGGAGATAATGCTACTAGTGGAGTAAATAATGTTGCTCCAAAAAAAGCTGTTGTATCCGTTCAACGTCCAGAACAATCAAATATTCCTCAACAACAAATACCTGGTGCCCCACAAATGGTATTTCCAGCTCCACCAATTCGATATTTCTCACCTGATTATCTTGCACAGCGTATGTATATTTGATCTCTTTGTTTTTATATACGTATATTTTCTTTTACATTTGAATAGAAGCTAGTCCAGGATCTATGCATTTACAACAAATTCCATTTTATTATTCAATGAATACACCAGGTGTAATTCAAACAGCTACATCTGTTGGTCAACCTCAAAATATTATGATTCCATCAACTAGTTCTTCAACAGGATCAACTACACCAGTTATGCCTCCACTTCATTACGCAGGAATTTATCCAGGTAGATTTAAAATGAAATCAAATATGTCTTATTTATCATTTATTTTTTAAGATCCACGTATGTACAGTTTATATTCGTCAGCAGCAGCAGTTAATCCAGCAAGTATCCATCCCCATTGGCAATTGGCTCGTTCACCTCCTCAACAACAACAAGCAACAGATCAACAACGTGGTTTTGGTAATGGTCAAAACGCTCCATCTCAACAAACTCCATCAACCGGAACTACAAATACCGGTAGTCGATCAGCATCAATATCAGGTCCAAGTGGTGCTGGCAATAGTAATAGTGGTCCTCCTCTTACGCCACAATATACATTGAATGGAGCTATACCAACTACCTATGCTTATGGAGGACCTGCTGGATGGATTTCTGGTCCACAACAAGTTTCATCACTTCAGACAAATATATCTCCGCAGATCAATGCCGCTTATAATATAATGTTTGATCCATCTCAACAAATACCACCACAACAAGCAACATATCTACATCGAAATCCATATGATATACCTCACTATTTTCCTCAACCAGGACAATCACAACCTCCAGCATCATCACAACAACAACAACAACCGCCTTCCCAACCAGGCTTAGACACAGTACCACAAGGCAATTATAATCGTTAAATATATTTCTTTTTCTATTTCTCTCTAAATACATATATTACTGTGTCTTTATTCTCTTATTCAAATTCTTCTTCTTCTTCTTCTATATCTTGCTGTGTGGTACATATACACATTTAAACATCAAACTTTCTTCATCTTGAGTCTTCTTTATGTTTGTCTTGTCTTCCTCATTAGTTCTTTTTTTTCTTCTTTTCGTTATATGTTTGTTCAAGCCAAGTTACCGTTTCTTTTCTTTCTTTACTCACATACAGCAAAAACAATTTACGTCTAGGCTAATAACTATTGACAAAAAAGCGGCAAAGTTTAATAAATTATTGGTTCTATTCAATGGGGTTTTAGACAACAACAACAAAATAAAATCATTTTTCTTTTGTTATTAATTGATGTCAAAATAAAAAAAAATGAAATTTATAGAAAATCTATATGGTGTGACCAAGTGTTATGGAATTTCAAAGAATGAAATCTCTTTTAGCGGAGCTGAGAATTTAGTATTTTACTACGAAACGAAGCGATATAGAAATAAACTTTCTATACAAAAGTTGTTCAGTTTTTAACAAGCTTTCAGAAATACTGGTCCTTTCTTAACAATCATAACTGCATAGAATAATAAACTCAAAATTGTGTTCGTTATGAAATTTCATCCTTTTTTCGAAAATCACAGTTTGGATCAGAATGAAAGCAAAAAAAAGTCAACAGCAAACAGATTTTACCAGCATACAATTCTGCATCAAATGGTACATTTTCACTAGAATCCAATGAGAAAAAGCTTGTTACCGCAGTCACTTTAGGGCTGAAATGTGGAACTCATATGTATACTTTAACTTCATTATACTAATAGAAAATATGTAAAGTGAGAAATTTCTCGTAGACTATAGTTGCTTTCCACGATGATCGATCGTTAGAGAAGCGATCCGTCTTAGTTATTTCTGCATCTCGGACAGAATCTTTTTTACTAGTGCTCTATTTTTTGTTTATCTTTATTGCACTTCAACCGTTATTTTTCTATTTCATATTCCGTTTGTCTTATTAGTATTCTAACCATTAATTTAACTGACAAATAAACCTGTTGTACATATCCACTATATTTACAGAAGGTTTCAACACACTATTATATATCTCGATAAGCTCATAAATTCTGATATTGATTATTTCCCAAAGTTATAACTTGATCAATTCACAGTTATAATGTTGATCATGTTATGACTATGTAATGCATCACTACCCATCGTTCTTGACATCTTGATTATAAATTTTTATTTGGGTAAAAGTAAAAATCTACATTATTTCGAATATTCACAAACGTATTCTAGTCATTCAAATTTCGAGGAAGACTTTGGAATGTTCTAGAATCCTCTAAAATTGTCTAAGTCCTGTCATTAATGCCCTTGAATGCCTTTTTCCAATGCTAAGGAGCTCTGGCCAAAGAGTCTGCGGCCTATTGTCCTCGATAGCTATGATTTGTAATAAGGAGGTGAAGAGCCATAAAACTTCAATTTAAGACTTACATTCACTATGGTCTTCAAGAATATATATAAATTCCACGAAGCCGGTGTGAATATTAAGCAAAACTGCTCAAAATGGGTGTATTCAATAAAGCTTATTGAACTCTATCTAGAGACGTCGTTTTTGTTGCGAAAATTAGTAACATAAGCGAATAAAATGCACTATAAACGAGTTTCGTTACGAAATTTCATCAAAAATAGAGATGATTTTAGAATGCATTATCTTGCTTTGTAGACATCTAACACTTCTACGAAGGTCATATATTGAAAGAGAGTACTTCGTAATCCAATCGATTAATAATTAATTGAAGAATTTGTTTTCTATTGATCGATCTTTGTATGGTGATGTAATCCACTATTATCTCTTACATAAATTTTCGAGTTGTCCATTCTAAGAAAGATGTTACGTGTTCAGAGTACTCAATGCTGTTCAGGAATAGAAACCCTTCCATCTCAAATACTATCAATTATTTTTTTTTCAATGGTTGACATCGATAGGAAAGTTTATCGAAATACTTTTAAAAATATAAAGTTTATTTTATTGATAAACATGTTGGAAACAAAAACAAACGACAAATATTTTTATACAAAACTAAATATTCAAGTAACACAAACTTCAATTTAATAAATACTTAATTGCTTTTTATTCAGTTTTCATTTGTTGTACAAAAGTTAAACAAAGATTTAATTAATTACGAAATTTTCTTATGTTGTTGATAAAAAAGTGATTTTTGAATTTCACCTTTTCGAAGAGCATTACGTGCATCATTTGCTGTTATAGCACATATAGCTGCACCAATTCCAGAACCTAAATAAAACGGATTAGATGAATATTTTCAAAGAATTATTTTCTATACCATCAGCACTAATACGTAATTCATAGTTAAGTAAAACTGGTGCAAGAATTTTAAGATGACGTTGAATAACCATATTAAAACGAGGATGAAAACGATAAAGACTACCATCAATACCAATACAAATTTTTTCCATTTCAGTTTTTCTATTTTCATGTAATCGTTTCATTAAAACTGCCATGGCTGCTGCAGTAAGCATAGCTGCTCGTCTAATGAAAATTGAAAACAACAACAAAAAAAAAACAAACTTTCATATAAATTTATTTTTTTATATTTCTAACCTTGAAATTAATCGACATGTATATGATATAATAGCACAATCAGCATTTGTTGCATAATCTAAACCTAATTTTTTTAAAACATTTCGTGTATTAGCAAATGTACGACCAGTATCAAGTTCAATTTCTGATATATGATTTGTTTGTAACATATAAAGTGCATGAAATGGTGCATAATAACGATAGGATTGTTTATGATCACGTTGAATTTTTAAAATAATACCTTGATTAATAAGAGTAGCTAAAACTTCAGCAGCTAAACGGCCCATATACATTCCTGATATGAGTTTTTCAAATATATGTATGCCAGGATTATTTGACATTTTATCAATTTCTCTATCAAAATCTGTAATTAACATATCAAGACAACCTCCTTCGCCTAATAAAAGAAAGAAGTTTATTGAATACAAAAACAAAATATATGTAAAAATACCGAGAGCACCCCATTCAGTATTAATAATCATTTCTGTTGCTTCCGCTGGTAGAACTGTTCGATCAGATATATTATGAATTTTATTAATATCTTCAAAATAACATGCATTTGTACCAGTACCTAATCATGAACAAAAACATATCAATATATTTTGATTAATAAGAAAATTCTCTTACCAAGAATTACACCCACTCGACAAGTAGGTTCATCATAAGCTAAATAAAACAAATTAATTCTATTTACATATATGATTTAAGTATATTTTCTTTTCTAATTATCAACATATATTGAACTTAAAATTTTTTAAAGATCATTTTTTCCTACAGAACGTTTTGCGATTAACGAAGACATCTAGTTAGATGTCTCCTTTGATTTCAATGCTTTTTTGTCTATGGATACTACATAGTGTTCTAATTAAAACTCTAAAAGTATTTGGGTTCCTATTGATATTTGACTAAGTTATTGAATTTTTAATAGGTGTGCTTTCTAGAGTTCTCAGGTTTTCAGAAAACTCCTACTTTCGAATTTTGATCTGAAACTTTGTGTATATAGAGAACTCAACTAGATTAGCTTCCACAAAAAAGCCTCAGAAGTTTTGAACAAAGTTTCTTCTAGATATGAAGCTTTCAAAAAATACATGTGATGCACACTATCGATGGAAAATAGTCTATATCTTGAAAGTTTCATATCTCGAAGAGATATTATTCAAAACTTCTGAATTTTTTTATAAAAGCTAGTCTAATTGAGTTCTCTATATGCACAAAGTTCCAGATCAAAATTCGAAAATACGAAGTTTCAGAAAACCTAGGAACTCTAGAAGATAGACATATTAAAGTCTCCATAGCTTAGTCAAATCTCAATAGAAACTCAAATTGTTTTTGGAACTTTTATTAGAACACTATGTAATATCTGTATGCAAAAAAATCAATGAAATCGTAAGGTGGCAGCTGAAGATGTTCTCTCATAATTTTTAATTCGAACTTGAACTTATTCATATCAATTCTTAAGTTGAAAATATCACCTTCTGTATTTTGTTATCATGGATTTGTATCTATAAAAGTGATTTTCTAGATTACGAAAACTATATCTATTTAAACAAAACGTTTATTCAAAAGCTATTAGTGCAATCTCTGCAAGATTAAAATGTGAAATACAATGTAGCTGCTGTTGCTGATCACAGGAAGAGCCTTTTATTCTACCTATTTCAGGACATAGTTCTTCACCTATCTTTTTACTTAACTGTCCAGATAACTAATAAGAAAGTAGTTAAGAGACGTTATTGATATACGGTCTGTGATCGTATATCAAGAACGTCTATCACTGTTTGAGATGATCTTTGACTAGTGTCCGTGACATTTCCATCGTTACATTTGCCACGGTCTGTGGAGGAGGGGTCTATATTTTTACTTCTATACTTCAACAATCCATTTCGATCATGCTTCACAAAATTAAAAAAGCCAACATTTATCATAATAATATTAACTTACCGCAAGCCATTAATGTACCAACTGTATCATTAATTAATGCAGTTATTTTAACTTTTAATTGTTTTTGATAAATAATTCTTTGTAATGTTTCTACAACATCTTGTCCAATTAAATCTGATAAAACCCATCCTTTTGATGGTGTTAAAAATTTTCCTTTATTTAATGCTATTTGTTTACAAGCAAAACTAAATGTAAAACCAAGTACATATTCTTGATTTAAATCAAGTTTATTTCGTATCATAAATTGTTTTAATATATCAACAATAAATTCAAATAAATCATTTGCAAGAATTTTTTTTGAATCTGGTACAATATGTGCTTCAGAAATAACTTCTGGTTCAGTATTTGGATTAAGTTTAACTAATAATGTTCGAAAATTTGTACCACCAAGATCAAGTGCTAATATTTCACCTTGTTCATTTTTTGTTGGTAAATTTGTTACATATGTTGGTAACATTTTAAGATCACTATTATTGTTCGTAGTTGATTCAAGACCCATTTGACAATGTTCTTCCATTGCTCTCATAACATGAGCAAGTGTTTCTACTGTTATATGAAATGAACTTGTTATACGCATTAATTCTTGATAATCTTCCCATGATATTGTATTTTCATTTGTATGAAGAATTGAAGTTATATTTTCTTCAATTGGATCATGAAGTAGACCATCAAAATTTGAATCACGTGTAACAATTTGTTTGCCAGCTTGAGATACAAAACGAGTACTTTTATTATTGTTATCAATCAATCTAGAATGTAAATGTTCGGATGAATCTTTTCTAGATCGTAAACAAAAATTATCCCAACAATTTTCAAACCAATTAACAATTGAATTATCATTACTATCAGTATCTTTCAACATCTTATTAATAAAATTGACAGAAAAAAATAATAATGTTTGAATTGATAACGCGCATTTATTCAAAGAAATATTCAAACTGAAAAAAAGCTTTTTATTAAATTTTTTTTATTTTAGTTTATCTTTATCCGATGGAAGAAAATTTTTCATTAGTTTGCATATATAAAATTTCTAGCAAGGCTTTTCTATTGTGAAGAGGTACGACATAAACAAAAAACGAAATAGACATGAACTTTATACAAATTGTTTAACATAAGATTGATGAGGTATAACTAAATATCCATAGAATGATCATTGCCTGTAGACTTGCGAAGTTTCTCGACGTTCAAGAAACATATTGGTTATGATCCATCGATATTGGACGATAAAACCGAAGAGAATGCATCTTGTCGTATAATGATATAAATATTTGTGCATGATTGAAAAGTACTATTAGATTTTGTACGGAGTAGTATCCTACAGTCTGATCAGGTACCTAAACATGACCCGAGAATGAATAAGGTTTCGACCTTTCAGTATATTTTTAAAATTTGTTAAAACTGCTACTTATATAAATTCATAGGAATGAATACCGATTCGATCATGATTGAACAATTTATTGTACCTTAGAATAGGTTACAGAAGTTGAAACTATTAGAAGAATTCGTTTTTAATGGCAATTCATCTATAAATGATGATAAACTATATGATGAAGTCAGTGTAATACTTAGGCCATTCCAAAAGTAGTGGCGGAGGTATATCAATTCCTTATAGAAAGCTCGGCGAAACTTTTTTTATATACAGTCTGATAGAGAAAAGAAAGGTCTATTTTTCTATGCTATTTGATCATACTTTAACTAATGTCATGATAATAAATTTTTGATAAGATTTTTTTCGTTAACATGTTTCCTCGTTGTAAGTTGTACATCGCAGTTTTCGATTCCTTATTAGTTGTATTAACAACCAAAATATGCCATAAGATGCAGCGTGAAAAGCTCTACCATTTCCATAAGACTACTTATTTTCTAGTTGCACTTTTTGTTTTCAAAATGGACAAAGTTTTGAGTGATCGAACTTCAGCCATTGTAAAAACTGATTGCATAGAATTTTTTTTTTTTACAAAACAATTACAACCTGACACAAACATACATACACACAAACTATTTTTTTTCATATGACCCTCCTTTCAGTCGAGGGAATAAACTTTATGATGTAGATTGTAGAGCTTTTCATACTGCATCTTCTGGTGTATTTTATTTTTCTTTTGATAAAGCATATCAGGTGATATAATAATCAGATAACAAGAAATGAATTCGTCGTGTATCAAAAACATGATCTTTTTCCCATGATCGAAATTTGATCGCTCAAGATTTAGTCTATTTTAAGAACAAAATGTGCAACTAGAAAATAAGTGGTCTTATGGAAATTGTAGAGCTTTTCACGCTGCATCTTATGGCATATTTTGGTTGTTAATACTACTAATAAGGAATTGAAAACTGCGATGTACAACTTACAACGAGCAAACATGTTAACGAAAAAAATCTTATCAAAAATTTATTATCATGACATTAGTTAAAGTATGATCAAATAGCATAGAAAAATAGACCTTTCTTTTCTCTATCAGACTGTATATAAAAAAAGTTTCGCCGAACTTTCTATAAGTGATTGATATACCTCCGCCACTTCTTTTGGAATGACCTAAGTACATAGAGAGGAAAATGAATTATCAATAAGATGAACAAGGATTATCATAATGGAAAAAGCATTCATTTATGAATCCATAGTTATGACGTATGGCACCAATGCAACGTTCCATTCCAGTGTCATCAACAACAAATAAACGGTTACTTAGTGAAATTGATCGGATTTTAGAAACAGAAAGACACCAAGTGAATCCTCAATCACTTGTTTTTTTTTGTGGAATTTCAGATGATATCTTTTTTTGTTGCTGTTTATAGAAAAAACTAAATAGTATATTTCTCCATACGAAATAAATGTTTGAAAAGCACACTGTGACTGAAGGTATCTGCTAAATGTCGATTAGTTCCGATTGCTAAAAGTCGTACCCAACGGAAATTACTTTTTGGTCTTTCGTAATTTTCTATAAAGTTTCTGGTGAATCCGTATGACAACAAATTCATCATAAGAATGTACAACAGAAAAACAACCGTTACATACAATCACTATAACCAACAGAATTTTACTGTGTAACATGAAGCTTGTTTGATGAAACCTGAGAAAAGCGAACCTTTCTACGAATTTTAATAGTATCTTTCGACCATCTGCAAATGTCTATGCCATTATAAGATAAAATACATTCTCTTTGATCTTGTCACTCAATCTAGTTGAATGGTAAGAATTATATTCCTTGAATTTCACAATTCTGTAGTTAATATTCAATCTATGGATTATACATCATCAATCTTGTGTTAAACGAATTTTTATTTCGTTTTTCTTTACAGTCGTTAGTTCTCTCCAGTTAACATCAATTTCATATCATTAGATTTAGGTTTTTTTTCCGTTGTTTATTTTTGTTTTGAAAAAGCGAAATTTTATTTCAAATTAATTAAAAGTAATTTATGTATTAAAACAAAAAGACGTACAAAAGAACAAACAGTGGATATTTCAATGAATATATGATCAAGTCTATTCAATTGATCGATATATTTCTACAAGACTAAGAAATATTGATAGAGTATAAGTATCGGATGATTGATTTTTTAAATGTTCAATAATCTAAATGAAACAAAAAGAAACATTAACATAAGAAAAATACGATCAAACAAACCTCATCAGCATGTAAACATGAATATTCAAAGAGATTATGATAAATTGAATCATCTAATTCAAATTTTTTATCAATACCCTAAGAAAAAAAATCAAAAGATTTTTAAATATAATATTTTTTTTTTGTTTTGATATCTTACTGTATCTGTTGATGAATATTCTGATGATAAATTTTTATTATTTAAACATTGTTCTAAATTTGAATAATATGATCGAACACGTTGTATTTCATCAGCAAATAATAATGTACAATTTTGTATATTAGAATTAGAATTTTTTTTATTCAATAATTCAATACATAATGAACATTCTTGTTCATATTGTTGACAACAAGCTATTTGAAAAATCATTGCAACAATATTTAATGAACTATTTAAACATTTATCAATTGATATATCAAATAAACAATCAAAATTTTGAAAAATAAATGGTATAAAATGAGCATAATATTGATGAAAAATTTGTGTATATTGTTCCATTAATTCACTCATAAATGTATCATTATTAATAAAATTTGTAAATAAAATTTCAATTAATTTCATTAATAATGAATTTATCATGGATTTTGTTTCAAATAAACGATATGTTTCATTATAATTATTATTCATTAATAAAGTACCTAATTCACCATCTATTTCTTCATAGGTATGATTTAATAAATGAATATATTGTGTTCGATCATATAATAAATACGCATCTACATTAGATAATGGAAACGATGTTAGATAATTAAATATTATTTTCTCATTGGATGTTGATAATGAACAATAATGACAAGAAGATCGAAGAGTATTTCCTAAAAAGTTCCAGATATTAAAAATTTTCAAACAGAGTATTTCCAATATCAATTCAAGATAATATATATAAGAGTGAAATGAAAGGAATACACAGAACTACTTTCAATTCGAAATTTTGAAAAGGTGAAAAATTTCGAATTTTTCGAAACAATTTATTCTCTATCTACAGTCGATAGAGATCTTTCGGAATTTTTGTGCGATATAAATCGCTGAAGAAGTCCATTAGTGAGTTAGGGTGGGATGTGGGTGTATATTACAGCAAGACTCACACTCACACCAGCGTCTGCATTCGCATTCGAGAGCTTTATTCAATTTCAAGTTCTTTTAATAAAGCTTATAAATATGATTATTTTTGACATTGATAATCTATTGAATCTTAAATATCAGGGGCTCTGCTGTCGAGAAGTTCAACTGTCGAGTGCTCTTATGTCGGTAGACGCAAAAGTCGGAAGGTCAACTATCAAGGGGCTTATCTATATTAGACTCAACTACCGATGTACCATGAATAGCGTCTCGTTATAATATATGAACTACTTCCTTATTACATTTCTGAAGGATGCAGTAAAAGGATTGTGAAGAAATATGACACAAAATAGGTAGAATAAAACAATGTTCGTGTAATTAGCAACAGCAGCTAAATCATGTTTCACATTTTAATTCTGTAAGAATTGCGCTAACGGCGTGTTTTTTTCGTTCGGATTTTTGGAACATTATGTATTAACGAACAAATTCACGAAGAAAGAAAATAGTTAATTTCGATTACATACTTAAATTTAAACTATTATTAACATCATTAATTTGTTTCTTTGACAAAACTAATTTAACTTCATATCCATCACTAATAATTCCATAATGTTGTAAAGTATTTAATTTTTTTCCATGATTTATATGTTCATTTGTATTATCAATATCATTTAATAATAAAATATGTGAATCACGACATGAATCATTGATTACAGCTGTTGAATAGTTTATTGTACGATTAGAAAGAACTTTTGTTAATATTGATTTTCTTGTTAATGGTACACTTGATGATGCTGTTGACGATGATGATGATGATGATGATGATGATGAAGTTGAACATGAATGATTTGTTAATAAATAAAGTTTACATTCATTTATTGATATGTGATTTAATGAATTAAATTGATAAAGAATTTTTTGTTTAACTTGAGATATAGTATCACATGTTAAACATGTAATATTTAATAATAATTCATTTGAATTATTATCATTTAAATCAATATGAACAATTAATTGTATTGTTTTAAATCTTATTGAATGTTCATGTAAAATACTATCAATATTTAATGAATAATAAGATATTGTTTGTTCAATAGCATCAATAGGTCCACTATGAATTTTAAATTTTAATTGAGAATAAAATTGAGATAATAATAAATGAATTTGATTTATTAAAAATGTATCATATGATGTTAA